AGATTAAGTTCCATACTAACATGAACAGAGAGAAATGGGTTCTCTCTGAGCAGGTCAAGTTTTATGATTTGAGGTTCTCACAGCGGCGAGTCCAAAGATGGCCGTCTTCTGGGTTGTGATGCCGTGAAGTCTGGTAGAAATTTACCAACATTTCAGAGGTCCTCCATCATCAAGGTGAGGGCAAGGACTCATCGCCCTGATGACGGAGGCAGCAAAGAGCTCTGAAACGTTAGAAAACTTCTACCAGACTACATGGCACTATACTTCAGAGTACTTCAAATCCTACCAAGTAATTTTGATTATCCCATTTTAATAGACCTCACATATTAGGTGCCTCCTTCACTACACCTGATAGATCTAATACAACTAAAGAGATAGCCATCTTTGGTCAAGTTTTATATACACCCTGCATATTCAAGAACTAACCACAAGTAGACAGTGCTAGGGTCACACAGCTTATAAGTTTTTAATTCCAAATGCTGTTATTATGAGAACGAGGTATTGTTTGAAAAACAGACAACCCTTCCAAAGTTTAAGTGGTTCATTAATCAGTATGCCCTGATTTAGTTAGTTACTTACAATTTTAAAAAGTTTTTGTGGTACTTGAAAATTATTGATTCACTGTCATTGAAACACAAAAATTTACAAACTAGTTTCAATCTGTCTCTCATTACAACGCCTTCATATCACGGTGTGGAAATTAACATTTTTGTGGTGAAATATGATCTCAGAGTAGGATTCTGAATAATTCCCACAAAGCATAAAGAGACTCAGTACAATACACAGGTTCCATGCACTAGCAGGTGCTCAGCGTACCTACGGATCTCTTCAACAGTTATACGTTCTCTGTTCAAAACAACTTAAAAACAATTTCTGTAACTGTTCATGTCCTCTCAGTCCCGCGTCATAGCCGCGCGGTCTGAGGCGTCATGCTTTGGACCGGCGATACGGAATGCGTGCTGGTTCGAGTCTCGGGGGAGAAGAAATTTTCTCATGAGCTTTCGACCAGTGTATGGGACCGGTGCCAACCCAGCATCATGAGGAAATTGGGGAGCTACAATGGGTAGCGTAATCCGGTCATGAAAACTAGCAATGGCTGGGGGTTCATCGTGCTGACCATACGTCACCCTATATCTGGTTGGATGATCGTTCACCTCTGCTTAGGCATGTGAACATGAGGCTAGCAGTCAAGCTAGTCGGCTTTGGCTCTCTGGAGCTGTTACGCCACGGATTTAATTTAATTTTTTTTAGTTCATGTTCTCATATAAACATTTTCATCAACATCACTGTTCACCACATCAAGAAGGGCACAAGCATCCAATTAACTGTCACTATCAAACTCTGAATCTGATAAACTTTCTTCGGATTCACAGACAGGTAAATATTTTCCCACTTTATCATTAGACAGAACAGCTGACTGCTTCCTGTTAGTAGAGGAAATGGCTTCTATCCACTAATTGTGTAAAGTATTATCTATGTAGGCAAGGGGACTGTACAATGGAAGTATTCATATACAGAAGTGTTACTGTTGCTAAGTCTTTCATTATTCTCGATGGGTCAAGATCTAGTTGTAAAAACTATAAGCCATTTGTTGTGGTAACAAATACCCAGTGAACACAACTCAACAAGGGAACTCATTTTCCAGCTGAAGAAGCATTTTGCCTTACCTGGTTTTGTATACAGGAGGTTTTCAGGTTTAAGATCTCGATGAGCAATGTTCATATCGTGTAAATACTTCACAGCAAGACATATTTCACGCATAATTTGTGCAGCCTCTGAAACCGATAAGAATTTACTTGCTAATTTGCAATCTGAAAAATTCATCACCTTTCACCATGGTCTAGCGTTTGTGTCCCTTATGGACCAACATAATAAGTAAATTTAATATCTGACAATAAGACACACACAGCTAGACTGGTGGCATATACTTGTACAACCATCAAAACAAATGGTAAATAAAATTATGTGTACATATGGTATAAAAAATTTATGAATGTCAAGTCAAATCTTAATGTTCACTGAAACCTTTTTATACAACAAGATGTATCTCCATAAATGAAGTATACATCTCATAAATTATTATGAAGTAAACAGCTGTAGGCCTAGGCATAAACATCTTTATAAATGTGACAAACTTGCATTCATGTATGGATTCAAATATCTGGCATTTTCTTGAAATACTGTGCACAGAATCAAAGGACTCAGAACTTTAACTAGTATTAAGAAGTGTTAGATAAATATAAATTTTAAAAAAATACTACATCATCTTTATATGCTAATCAGTGATGTCAGACAATCAAAAATTTCAATGAGATATCAAAATATACAATGTAGGATTTGAGGATTTCACAGCAGTGAGTTTGAAGATGGCTGTCTTCTGGGTTGTTGCGTGGTGTAGTCTGGAAGATTACTGATGTTTTAGAAGTCCATGCTGCCTCCATCATCAGGGTGATGAGTAAGCTGTGCGAGTGGAAAACGCTGGATTTTTGAAAACTGCCCATTAGGCTCTTCCTTAACAGTCAATTTCTTATAAATCCAGCGTTTTCCACTTGCACGGCTTAATCATCACTCTGATGATGCAGGTAGCATGGACCTCTGAAACGTCACTAAACTTCTACCGTGCTACACGGCGCACTGACCCAGAAGACAGCCATCTTCAAATATACAATCTTTTCCAATAAAATTGTGAATCACACTGAGATATCTAACATGTTATTTCTGCATCCCTCTGACAGAACATCACACAAAAATTCCTAAATTAAGGGACAGGTATATTCCAGCTTTTCGTGAGTTCTACTGCGTGCTCTACAACATTATTCTGCAAGATTCATGCAGGACATAAATTAAGCTGTGTAATTAAGTGAATGTTGAAAATTAAGTGGACTGATAAAGTATGAAATGAGCTGGTCTTACACAGGATAGGTGAAGGAAAAAGTCTATGGAAAAATCTTACGAGAAGAAGAGATAGGATGGTGGGACACATTCTGAGGCACCCAGGATTGGTTAATTTGGTAATGGAAGGAACAGCTGAAGGGAAGAATTGTAGAGGGAGACAAAGATTGGAATATGTGACCAGATTTTTGAGGATGTGGGCTGCAAAAAATATATGGAAATGAAGAGACTGGCATAGGTGAAAATGGAGGACCACATCAAACCAGTAAAAGACTGATCACAAACAAACAATTAAGTGAAGAGTAAAAGGGTAAACCAACAGTTTCACATATCTCACCACGTTCTGTGAAAGCTCCATCTTGTCTATCTTGTATTCGCTGAAATAATTCACCTCCCTCCATACTGAAAAAACAGTAAGATAATGTAAAAACTTCAGTCCCAAATAAATCAACTGTTAAGTACTCAAGCATGATGCCCATTATATTAAAATTAGAGATTATTTTCCAAAACAGCATTAACCAATTATATTTATAATGAAGATGTACTGTGTTTTCTTTCAGGTAGGAACTAGCTCTTTAAATATTGTATATTAATAAATGTCATGCTTCAAAAGGTTAAATAAAACTACACAAATTCCATGCCTTAAAACATTTCATTAAAACAACGGGAACTGAATTTGGTTTCTTTGGTTTACTGTGACACAATTTCAACATTTATAAGATATTTAAATTTCAACATTGCATAATCTCTTGTTGCAGAACTTAATGCATCTTGCCTTCTCATGAGGCAAGTAACAGTGGCCAACTTTCAAGAAATAAAGTATTTATTTCTTTGAAATCAGAATTATATTTTGCCATAGTACTCAGGTAAACCTACTATTCTTTTGTGTCCAAAGTTCAGACACCCAAATTACAAACTAAGGAATGCTTATGTCATGTCACAGATAAAATTGATAACAAAAAAATTATTTTCATTTTTTCACTGTAAATGAGAAGGCAATCCTCATATGATCCTTACAAAGGTGTGTGTGATTCAGATTCACACATTACAACACGGTGGTCACACTGTAACAGCCCAATAGACTATCTATTTAACGATGGCTGGCCATCGTATCCATTCACATCTTTACAAATCCTACAAGTGCTAACGCATGAGGAAATTATCAACTTCACAGATTTATTGCATGTTACATAGTTCTACTGTGCCTCTCGTACAAAGTGTATAACACGACAGCATAATGGAAATTTAGTGTTCATCTGGTCTATGTTTCATTTCATAAACTAACAAATTTTGTTTAAAGTTGGTACTGCGAAGCTACAGTAAACACTGAGAGACAATTACACTACAGCACATACCATACTGACTAAAAAGGTTATTTAGCAAAAATAAATCTGGTAAAGATAAATTAAAAACAGCATCATTAATAAAATGAATGAGAAATGGATAACAAGTGTTTAAGAGGGGAGAACGGGGTACCCACATAGATTAAATTGAAGAGAACCATGTCATTAGAATAGCTAGAGACCGATTGCCAAGAGGAAAAAGGATTATTGGCTACCCTAAGAAAAGATGGGAAGATAGTGGAATGTACAGGTTTCGAACCTAAGAGAAAGTAAGAAAGAAGAACAGAAATGAGTGAACTGCAACGTATGCTATCATAAACTGCACACAGAACAACCAGCTCTTGTACTGATATCTAGAACTAGCCACAGTACAAACTATGGTCTCATATTGAAACTGGAGATACATGAATAAATCAATAAAATCTTCTTGGGCAATCAGCCATGTTAACTGGTTACCATAGTAAACCGACGTTTCGGGAACAAACTCTGTCCCCATCTTCAGGGTTCTGATGTGACTGGATCCTCGGAAGTAACCGAGTAATAACACGGATGACTGTAATAGGAGGCTTCACTATAACACAGCTTCAGAACACAGTATAGGCCAACTTCTAACTTTATAAAAGCTATGGAATGAGAAAGGAATGTTCAAAACCTCATACCACTAAGGGCTTGATGTGGGAGTCCAGTGCATTCCTCCTAAACCAAAATTACTCACTGGTGACTTGCAACCGCAAGAAGTGACTATAAATTAAAATGTTTACAATGTAGTCATCTAGGACAGAATTAATGGACGGATTTTTTTCAAAGTATGTGCAGTAAATAGTTGATGGAATGTACTGGGGGAGGGGGGGGGGGTTTCCAGTAACACTGATTATTAAATTGCACAGTTGTTTTAGGATGTCAGTAATGCATCCTTAGACCAAAATTTCCATTAGGAACACCATTGAACAGACTGGTAATATGAAAAGGGCACCTGCAATGACACAAGGTTCATTAAAACAGGACAATGCAAAGAGACAAGCACAAAAAAATCAGTCATTAGCGACCACTTTTGGTTTTAACGGACATTGTCCATCACAACCGAAAACGTCCACTAGTATCTAACATTCAGAAACAATTTTGGCAATACAAGACGGTGTCCATTATGACCAAAATTTGTTAAATTGAGGGCTTACCCTATATAAATTAAGGAAAACAAAGGCAAAGCAATGCAAGTGGAGAAAAAATTATGGCTGTCTTCTGGGTTGTAGCACTGTGTCGTCTGGTAGAAGTTTACCAATGTCTCATTGCCCTGATGATGGAGGTAGCAAGAACCTCTGAAACGTTAATAAACTTCTACCAGACAACATTGCACCACAACCTAGAAAACAAAATCTTCATACTTACTTCAGAAAACTTCAACTCCTACCAAATGATTGAGATTAGCCCATTTTAATGGACCCCCACAGATTAGGTGCCCCCTTCTCTTTTTCTGAAGATGAGAATAGACGAAGTCCTCGATATGTTGTGTTTTATAATATCAAACGATGGAACAAGGCCCGAAACCTCAACAATCCAAAAAGTTATGCTCTTATGTGGAAAACATTTTCTTTTAACTTTTCAAGTGCTACAGGTAGAACGGCCAATTAGCTATTCCTCAAAATGTTACTTTCACTCACCATTCCATAACAACCAGGAGGCACTTGTTTCCACTATAAGTGTTCTCATACACATCAATAATATTAACAATATGTCGACAACCACTTGCCCGCCAATGGAGATCTACTTCACGGCGAGCTTTCGTGCAGTCATGAAGAACCTAGAACAATAATATATGTTGTAGCTTGTAAACTTACAGTAAAGAAATTAATATGGTAAAATTGTAACAGGTCAAGACATACACACCCCCTACACTTAAACACAGTAGAGGGCAGAGCGTGAACGCTTCATACAGGAGGAAATAGATGACATCAAACACGTGCCAGTTTCTGGGAAAATCTCTTAACAGAAACACTACAGATATTCTGAACAGTGTGTGATAAAAACAATGTCCTGTTCCAAGATATGAAGCAACAAAAATTCAGTGGTGGTTGTAAATAGCTGAAGGATGATGCATGTAGTAGATGACCTGCAAACTTGCGGAACATGTATAACATAAGACGGGTGCTGGACATTGTGCACTCACACTACCAGACTACAGAAAGTCAGAGCTTTGATTGGCAGTTGAAACACTCCCCTCTAAAGATAAAACACATCTTCCAACATAATATACCTACCGAGATATCAGGTTCTCATGACGATAAATATGTTGATTATGGTCTTCTGGATTGGGACACTGTACAGTCTTGTAGATGGTTGCAATACATTCCTGTAAACACTTGTAACCACCTACAAGACAGTGTCACAACACACAAGACAACAACCAGCATAAAACACCAAGAATGCTGCTGCAAGACGAATAATGTTGTAATTGCATGAGGATAGGTGATGAGCTCATCAACAAAGCAAACGACAGACTTTTTATGTACGACCAGAGGCAATAGAACTTCGTGTTTGCAATTCCTGAAGGAAATGACAATTCACCATGTGAAACTTGACATTCTTACTGAGAGCGACAAAGTTCCAACAGGATAGCTCAAGTCTGAAAGTTTTTGATGATGGTGCGTTATTGAAGCAAATTGTTTTCTGGACATTATCCATCATCCAAGATTAAATAAAATCAATAAAAACTGTGACGTTTCGGATATAGATTCCCATATCCAAAACATCAAGGTTTTCATTGATTTTATTTAATCTTGGATGATGGATAATGCCCAGGAAACAATTTGCTTCTCCAACAGGATAGCTAAAATAAACAGATGATTTTGGAAGCATTTTCAACTGACAGGGCATAATGCACAAATATATTCCTGAGGGTATGACAGACAATAAGAAGGGTACAAGGGACAGACACTCTATCTATATGAGGCAATTCACCTAAAACATCCTAAAATATGGGTGGACAAATACTTCCTGACATACCATACTATCCCTATCTTGTACAAATGCAAGTAGTGCGTTTCATAAGTGTGTAGCTGCTGAACAAATGTATTTTGAAGGTAACTGCATCTGACAGCTTCTGAGTGCCATCAGATTTGAGACATGACTCTGCCCTGGAACATATTGAAGCTACCATGTACTACAGCTTACAGTAATTAATATATGCATAATATATACAAAGACAGATACTACAGATATTTTTACATCAATGGTATTAAATTTAATACCAAATTCAGAAAATGACAAAATGAACAGAAGACTTGTGAGAAAACTCATCCTATGTTAATTCTGTAGACAACAAATCCTACATGGAATAATATAATCTCAAACTGTCTAGTTAAGAAGACTTCCAACCCTTTCAGATTGTTTCAGGACAGTCCTGATTCTGCATCTACATGGCGTGTAGCAAAACTGCTTTACTTTCTACCCCTAATATGACAAACTAACCTTCCAGAACCAGACCAAACCTAATACAAATGCACACTGTTACATAAATGTTGTCATTAGAATGTGGTGCACAGGGAGGCTAAACTGTATCTGCACTTCGCAAGAGAATTGTTTTAAAAACGTAGAATATAAAGTTCTTCAACAGCAGAATGGCAAATCTTACGAAAACTTATATACTGAATCATACAGAACTCAGCTGGCAACACTAAAATCACGGCACATGCACACAAATTGTGCCAAAAATAAAAATATGCAGCAATATTGAAGCACCCACGAAATTCGAAAGTTCTGTTAATAATGCACTGTACAGAAGGAGCTACAATGTTGAAATCGTGCAAAGCTGACCAACATCAAATTCACAAACCACTGAATTGTTTACTTTTGCGAATTAAGTTAAGTGACAATAAAATGAGATGAAATTCTGAAACAGAGGTTAAGTTAACACATACACCGCTTTACCTTCAGAGCATGTTTTTCTCTCGTCTTCTTGGTATAACACTGCACCACTTTCCCATTAATCCCCAACCCTAAAACTGTGTTAGATATTTCATAATCATCCGTTATTGGTGTAGATTTAGGTGATCTTAGGGACTTCACTCCGACTTCGTTCATGACGACACTAAGGATGTCCGTGTTACAAAAAGATAGTAACTTCTACCAGCTCTGTGGCTGGTACACACGTAAAATGACAAATTACAATTAACAATCACATTAGGCTTTTACACTTGCAACAAACGCATTAGGTTAAAATATTAATTCTCCCGAAGTATACGAAACCACCATGAGCCTCACTGACATGACTCACACACAAATATAGACTGAAGAGGACTGAATATAATGTACACAGATTATCCAATAATACCAAAAGCGTGAAGTAGGCAACATGGCAGGGTAATCGATGTAAGAAGATTACAGACTGAGCAGTTGTACAGAATTTGATTACAATGAGATTACAGTTTCATCAGTAATGTTCGCAAGGATTGTTTCACATTATGTCGTAATCTGCCCCCTCTTTTTTTTACCATTCTGATTTGCGATACGTCTTAAGTCTTGGTCAAGGGCCAAATATAAAAAAAGGATTTCCCATCAAAAGTATCAGAAAATAACCCCCGTGAAACCGTAAGTCACTTTGGGACATGATAACGAAAATTCAAACTGAACTGTATCTGTGATTAGAAATGGAACTGGGTTTTCAGATCGCTCCCCATACTCTCGCTTTCCAGGAGCCGCCTTCGATTCTATATGTAACCGGCAAAGTATGAAATAAATCGAAATGTTAATATTGTTTGGTTGTGTAAATTAAAATTAATCTAAGTCGATTGGTAAGCTGTCAAGATGGAGGTTGTGCAAGATAGTCGCGAAAACACCAAGCTACTGACTGAATCTGAACATAATAAAAGTTTTGAGAGTTGAAAGAAATTGTTTTACATGCTAACCTAACCTAACAAAAGTTTTGAGAATTAAAGAAAAGTTTTATATTACGTTTTTGCAAATATAAAAGATAAAATAAAACTATATAAATCGTATTATACATTGCCTAAAAGTTCTAGGCATTTTATAGAATGCCCGGGCATTCCAAAGAATGACTGAATTTCATACTTTGCCTACTGACTTTAGACATTCTATGCATTGCCGGAATTCATAGTTTGCCGGTAACATATACACTCACTTCAACCACGGTACATAGCAGTGTGGTTTTCTCCACAGCTACAGCAATTTGGAAAGGTGCAAATGTGTAAGATAACTGATAACACTGGGGGAATGCGGATAAACGCCTGACATGCAAGCCCCTACCAGGGCGAACAACAGTGAAGATCACAGAAGACAAATGAAATGAAAGAAAATTAATTGGATATGCAAAATGGAGAGAAGGAAAAGAAAGGGCAAGACAAACTAAGTAGATGGATACTGGGGAAGTACAGATACAGATCTGACATGCAATTAAGGGAAGAAACAGCTCCTGTCAAAGCAGGCAGGTGCCCACAGAGTCTAACGAAATTAATAACAGGTATGATATGCAACGAAGGGGAAGGAGGAGCCCTTATCAGGGTCACCAGAGGATTTGCATTGATGATAACAGAAAAGAAATCAAAAGAGTGGATGAGATGCTTCCATGACAGGGTTAGGCAATGTAACCTGATGCCAATGACTTCCCTAATCATGTCCCACATATCTGTATTTGGTGGAGAGGATGGGTTGGATTTAATGACCCAGGCCATGGCTGATTATCTGGATACTCCAGTTGGATGTGCCAGTGGTGGTCCTTGACCCTAGTCTGTTGGAGGGTATACTGTACATGCCTGTAGCGAGTCCTAAGTCATCCATCACAGGCTAAAGGAAACTGGGAATCTTCCTCAGGGAAAGGCCCACAGACTTTATGTTGTGCCTGGACAGCATCCTACTATGGAACTGGAGTTATGATGATGAAGGGAAGCAAGGCAACTGAGACATACTTCTTCAGGGCGACTCTCTTTGGTGGACTTACAGATTGTCAGATCTACCAGTCGCTTTAGCCATTCTGCCTGAAAGTGGCTCTGAAAAACTCCAGCGTATGATCGATGTTTCATTGTCACAAGGGTTCTGGCTATGTACACAAACATGGAAAGTACAAACTGTTTATTGGAATGTTGGTAAAAATAGGCAATGAGATAAACAGTGTGTGTGGGTTTGCACAGACTCTGTGGCCCAATGAGCCATCAGGTTTACAGTAAATGTCAATATCAAGGAAGGGAAAATGGCCATATTTGTGAACTGGATGTTCTCATGGAGGCTGTTGAAATGACCATGTGGCCAAACGATGAAAATGTCATCTGTTTAACAACCTCTTTCTGACATCCTGTGACTAACATACATAATTATCTGCTGGTTTGCTATCACCCTAATCCTATGTTACCTCCCATTCTCCCACTAGAACTGTCTTATACTTTTTATCATGTGTGGTCTTCTGGGCTGTGTTGCTGTGAATCCTCCTTTTGTAACCACATGGTATCAGAACCCAGAATCAACATTTCAACTGTTATGAGAATATCAGACTAATTTACTATTCTCTTCCAACTATTTTCAAAGAATCTGACCCATAGAGACTCCTGACATTCCATCTTCCAAATTTCATATATATTTTCCATAGTTTAGGTCATTTAAAAGAATTCATCCAAGTCGTGTAACATTTTGTAACATGCAGGTTTTTAACGGCAAGAGCTACTGGTCTCCACCCAATCCCCAACCTGGACGACTACTCCTTATTGGCCGTACATGCCTGCTTAATAACTGTATTCACAGCTACCCTCCATGTCTGGAGGTCTCCTCCATCTGCAGTGTCAAGATATTCTACATCACGGTGACAAGGGACTGACAACATGGCAAGTGTATTTCATTATAAGCAAAAAATATTCTTGCCTTGGAATTGAATCTCCAAAAAACTTTAACACAATGTGTTCAACCTGCATTGTTATTTTCTAATGAATACAGTTATGATACCATTTCCATTTACGTAAACCTGCCATATTCGAAACCAACAGATGAATTTCAAACCAAATGTTTCTTTCTGCATGTATGTTCAGGAGGAAGAACTATAATTTTTTATTTCATAATTTAATGCTGGTGGTTTACCCTTTAAAAAAGGAGAAATAGTTGATAATATTTCACTGGCATGCGCAGGGATATTGTTCTTTGTGGGTATATACCTAATTTTTTCACCATATACCTAATATGCCCTTTTTCCCATGTCAAATGTACCTGATTATGATTATACAGTATGCACCTGTATTTGTGCAGTGGTTATTTACTGTAACCAGCTTGACAATTGTATTTAGACTGAAATGTTTGCATACATATGTTTCTTTATTATGGCCTATGGGCAGCACGTGAGGGGAAGGAAAAGGAAGGGATAGAAGAATAGTGGCGGAAAGTGTAACACACTCTTTTGTCTGTAGCAAGAGGAGAGGTAAGCGGTAATGTATGCATATTTATCATAGTTCCATTAGACTTTTGAATGTAACTGAATTGTTTCTATTTCAAATTTATTCACTACATCTCTACTTTCAAAGGGCATACTAGGAACTAACACCTTTATGCTTGTTAGTACCACGTTGTTAAAATCTGGAAACTTGACGTGCTTTGTTGGCACTTGTTAGCAAACTGATTCATACACCCACCATATTTCTGTGGGTAGACTAAGTTTATAATGCAGCCAATATACAACACCACCGCAAAGAAACGGACACGTGCTGTGCGTCACCTATTCAAAGTGTGTGGTAAACATTTTAATCAAGGACGAGTCCATTCCCCCATATCAAAGTTGATATGCAACTGTTCTACCAGAATTCTTGGAATGTTACCTGTTACTGAATGCAGCTTATTCTAGGTAATGTTTCCATTTTAAAATCAACACCCCTCCTTGCAGTAGAAGGTTCATTTAAAGATTGCTGTCTTCTGAGTTATTGTGCCGTGTAGTGTGATAGATTTCCACCAAAGTTTTAGAGGTCATGCTGCCTCCATCATCAGGGCGATGAATTCACCACCCCTGGTAGAAATCTACCAGACTACACGGCACAATAACCCAGAAGACAGCAATCTTCAGACTCACCACTGTGAAAATCTCAAATCCTACAAGGTTCATATACTGTGACTGCCATGATTTGAATGTCATCATTTGCACTGCTGACCACACATAAAAACCCAACTCCCTCCCCAGTTGTTTACTTGAGTAGGTTTTATTTGTTAGAGCAGAAATTTTACAACTTAATATTCCAGGGAGTTCTTTGCATAGCTGGTGGAAACAAGACAGCATGGTGCTTTATCAGACTTTATTATGATGCTTAAGGGTACATTTGTATTATCATAGAAGCTGGGAGATGGTGGCTCATGGGGGAATTTATGTTTTGTTCTGAGATTTTTGTGGGCACAATGTGAAGTTGGTGTTATATAGAGGGGCGCTGTAAAAAGTTTTGACTGCATTCAATCTGCCAGGTTTTCCATATAAGAATTATTTCAGGCTTACATAACATATTCATTTATGATTCACTCCTATTCTCTATTTATACAACCCACATAAGTGGGCGTGTTATGAAGAAAAAAATTATACAAAGAATTATGCTCTATTATTTCAACAAAGGAAATATCCAGAGAAGACATACATTTTAACATTTGGTTTTCATATTTTTTTTTACAAACTTTGTCATGAAGAATAACAGTTTTCCACATGTGAGGTTATATGATAAAGGTTAACTTTACGCCATATTTAGGAAAGAAACATCCATTGTTTTGTGACTGTCTAAGAGTGACCACCAATTTCCAACTTCTAAATGAGACAAGAAATTTGTAAGACAAAATAAGAATCAGAAAGACATTCCCTTTTGTAACAAAAAAATATCATGGTTCAAGGGCTTTAGTTTGATTAAAAATAAAATTAAGTACCTCGTTGTTTGACTCCACCAATTAAAAGTACTGGTATACTCTTTCTTTTAGATTCACTGGTACTGTTGCAAGCTCTTGTCAACCCAGGTTAGCTTTATGTCAGGAAATATTGTATTTTAGCAAGTACTCAAACTCCTTCTCATCTAATCTAATTTTTCTTCAAAAAACAAACCAAAAGAATATGATTTTACTGAAAAGATGCATAGTGTATATTATTTGTCAAAATTCCTTCAATGCTGAACAATTAGCTCTATATAACCTTTTCACCCATACACAGCAGAAGTACTGCTTCAAAAGCACGCGTGCGAGTCTGGCTCGGCGAGCTTGACTCGTGAGCCAGGCTTGGATATATTTCACCACACATGCATAGCAGACTCGGCTCGTGAAACCCCACCCACAAATGAGTTTGGCTCAATGGAACCTGAGCCAAGCCGGGCTCGCAAGCCAGACTCGTACGTGGATGGGCCGCTTTACAGCAGTGGGTTCAGTAACTGTGCAGAGAATCAGACTGAAAGCATGGTCACAGCAATTTACATTTCTTAAATTTCTGTGTTGTTAATGCAGCTTAAACAAGTCTCTATTCAGTGGTCTTTTGTGGCATATGGAAAATGGCTAAACTCAGCCAGCATACAAGTTTAAGAAAGTACCTACGGCTCTAGCATTGCAAGTGTTAATATACAGTCGCAGTATATAAGTGGAAAAAACAAGTTTGAAAGAAACTGTATTAAATTACTTATTATAATGAAAATAGATTCATGACTTCCAAACGTGGTCATGAATCTCCTTCCAGTAGAGGGAGGTCCTCACGTTTCTGTCGCCGCTCACATTTTGGACAAGGTTTTGTAGCATCTAAGCATCCCACATGATACACAGCACTACAGACACCACACTAAAACAGTAAGGATAAAAGCATTCTTGAGAGCACTGACTATTCACAATGTTATAACCCTGCAAGTAAACAGCATAGCAAACCAAGACACAGAAAATATTACCTTTGATTCCATAACAGTGAACAAGTTGTTAACTGAGAGTTCAGAGATTGTGTCATAGTAACTAATGCAAATTTCTGCAGCAAATTTATGAAACATTATTTAAATACTTAAATCTGCAAAATTATTTTTTATAAATTCATAACTGCCATACAGTTCCCTTTAATATGTAAAAAAAATTCTTTATAAATATACTGCAGATATCATTCTACTTTTGTATGTATGTGAACCCTAAAAAGTAGATCTTACATAATGACTGACAGACATGCTGGGCGTGTTTAACTGCCTGTAACAATATTTGTGAAGTTTTGTTGTAACATCTACTATACTACAATAAGTATATATGTTACCATAAAAGCCTGAATGTTGGTGAAACCTAGGATTTACCAGACAAACCTAGGTTTTACCAAACAGTGTAGGTAAAAGTCTGAAAAAAGAACTATACGCATCTTATTTTGTGGTTTTACCTTTCAGTTGGTAAAATCCCATTTTTGGGGTTTAGAAACAGGCATTCCTAATGTAAGTTGTATTTTTAAAAAGTTTAACAAAAACAAAATAATAAATAAAAACAATGCAAGAAACAGAAAAATTGTGGAATAAAAAATATGAGACATTTCAATCACCAAAGTACATTTTTTCACTGCTGTTTCAAGACTTACTTGTTGCAACAAGATGAACTATTATGACATTTGGAATTGCATAACACACCAGAGGATTTGCACAAGCACTTTTTTGCTAAACTAACCCAAACTTTTCATTACCTGCTTATGGTAAATCCAAACATTTACCATAAGCATTTTTCAGACTCTGACCAACACTGTTTGGTAAATCCTAGGTTTCAGCAACATTCGGGCTTTTACGGTAACATATCATTTATTACTGTTATAATGTAAGTTTTCCCAGATAACATGGAAATACATTCAATTAGATTCTATGCACAGGAGAGAAAGCTGTATGTAATTAGAAGTCTACATAAAAATTTATTCTACTTCCTTCATTTTCTGATTTCAGATTCATGTTCCTCACATATTTAAATCTGTAGCCAATGTAAATAAATCATAATTTAATTCAGCCTTTAAGTAGTAATATAGAAATCCACAAATATCATTAAATCTTAGTTATGAACATAACCTATAAAAATTTGAAAGTGGTACACAAGACAGAAAGATATTCAACAGGAATAGAGCCATGAAACAGAGACATTCAATGACTGTGTTAAAAAGAACATGGTTTGGTGTTTTTTTGAGCTTCACTGTCAGGAAACTGAAAGAAATTAAATTTACAGAGACTCAGACTGACAATCCAGGTATCCAGTTGAAGAGCAATTTAGCATAACTGAAAAGTCTACTGGCTGAGGTTAACATTAACTATTACAATTAGATCTGATTTTTAATCATTCAGTTAAATACCAAACATATTTACTTACTCTGTATGTGGACTCCATGTCAAAGGGGTAAATAACTTTGGGGTTGTTGCAAACTTCACATATAAAACCCTTCTGACAGCAAAGCCAGCATGATAAGACATGTATTTTTGCAAATGAAACTACTTTTTGAAGAACATGTGCTAGTGTGCCCGATGGGATCTGAAGTAAATCCTGAAACATCACAAAATTCATTACACCATTCAGAATAACATTTTTATGACTTTATTAAATGTAATATAGAGGCATTCCAACATGGATCACCATTACATCACTTGTTTTTAACATCCCTACGAATATTTGGGGGTCATGCTAACTGAAGATGGAAAAACTAATAATGAGATCCTAAATAGAGTAAAGAAGGCAAATAATGCTTATTACCAATTAAACAATACAATATTTGGAATGAAAGAACTGAATATAAAAACCAAGAAACAATTCTACCAATTAGTTATAGAACCAACAGATGTTGTAGTGTTGCTTGATATGCTTTTGTAAAATAACTCCACTTCATGATTTTTTTTCTAAACCATATTTAGACCAATTTTAAACCATTTTGATTAAATTAATTAATTTCCCTGTTGCCACTGATGATGATCTCTTGAAAGGCGTATGGCACTAGTGTCTTTTTTATAGTGTTAATAGTTTGTTTGTTGGCTTATTTTATATTTTAATTGTTTCTAACATATCTTTGTAAAGAAATAGGCAATTTTGTGTATTATTGTTTGCACTGATTTCATCACAAATATTTTTACTAGGAGCCTCTGAGTGCAATAACTTTGTGTGAACTATTAACTTGCCTTACATAAAGTATTGCCAATGCCTAAAAGAAAAAGCTCCTAGCAGTTGCATTTTCAGGCATGCCACACAAACATCTTGAGAAAACTGCATGTGGCATTCATCTATTATTGCAGGCTACTAAATCAAACAGTACTTTAGCAATATTGAAGTGTTCTACATTTCACGGAGTAAACTCTCGGGCTAAATGTGAACTGGAAACAAACGTATTTAAAAATGGTTCATACATACTGCAACAGAATACAAATGCACATGTTCATACAGGTACTCTCGTGGCCACACACGTTTCTGCAGTTCTTCAATGACTGGTTCACGGCATGTGAATAAGTATGCACGAAGCAGGTTCAGTTGTATACGTAGTGTCTGAAACATCAATTGTCATGTAACGGCATTTAAAAATACTGAAGAACAAAATTTCTTTTGTAAGACTTGAGGTTCTCACAGCGGTGAGTATGAAGATTTCTGTCTTCTGGGTTATTGCGCTGTGTAGTCTGGTCGATGTTAACCAACGTTTCAGAGGTCATACTGCCTCCGTCATCAGGGCGATGAATATGACCTCTGAAACGTTGGTTAACATCGACCAGACTACACAGCGCAATAACCCAGAAGACAGAAATCTTCAAAATTTCTTTTCTTCCAATGTGAGTACTGTGTAGCCTTATGAACCACCTGCTAAGAAACGTATTTTCCAATTTTGACTCCAGAATAATACCAACCGATTCTCTATAAAAACTGAAATGGGAATACCACCTGAATTTATAAGATTGGGAGAGACAGAAATCCCCACTTAATGGTACCTGCACCTTGTCGTGGTTGTGGGGCTTGAGTACCTCAGTGATCCCATGAGCTATGCTGGCGGTAGCATAGCTACTGGTAGGGCCTCCCTAACCAGATTGGTCGAGGGGGAGAGGTCAGACTAAGACAGGTACCCTGGTCCTCCAGGTTGGGGGTTGGTCACAAGGCTAACAACCTTGCACCGTAAAAAGGAATATGTTTCGAAACCTCAACCTCGGACAGACGGACCTAACAGAAGGACCGAATGGAAGAGGAGAATTGAGGAGGCCATGGACCGAATACGGACCGGAGAGCCATACAAAAAGAAGAAGAACGGAGAGACAGGAATAGATGGGAGGATAGTATTAACATGGATCTTAAAAAATATGAGTTTTGGGTTTCAAAGCGTTAACGTAAATCTGCTTTAACTCAGATTCCCGGAGAAACATAAAGATATCATGGCTTAACCAGAAAAGCATTCCTTCTTGAAAAGGAATGTACAAATGATATTAGTAGCAATTCATTTATATTAGTAACATCAGGGACTGTATTTAAGAAACCGAGTGTCTTATGGTAGAGCACATTGTACAAATCTGTCATTTTTGACTTAATCCCACTGAAGTGATCCAGACATTTGCATAGAATTGGGTTCCTAAGAGAAATACCACCGTCACAATGGATGATGTTAGTTTACTGCTGTTACCAACGAATACTTAAACCACTGGATAAAGTGGCTCAGTATATGACCAATAAAGTGCCAGAATTTGTAACATATTTAGGAGACAATAATGACGCTAGAAACATATCTTCCCTTTGATACTTGGGATATACTCAACTCCACCAAATCAATAAAGCTGCTACTTTTAGCTGAAGGGAATCAAAACACACACATACAAGTCTGTTCAATGCATTTATTTGGGGATATACACAGACCTGTGTCCAGTAGCAAAGATCTGGGTCCGGGACAGGTTCAAATAAAAGCAATCAAATGTTATGCAGAATATTTTGGGCTCTTTCGGGCAATTCTTTTTTTGCAAAATAAAAATTGGGCTCATCTGATGTTTGTGACAGTTAGGTCCTGGAAACAAATCCCACCAACTTGATTTTTTGGGGATTTTCATAGCTGCCCCTACCAGAAAAGTTTGAGATAACACTTTACAATCTTGACATCTGATATCTTCATACCATTCCTCAAATACTAAAATATTCTCAAATGTTCTTACAGCATTGTTAAATAATTCATTCAATAATTTCTGGCATTTATGTGTTGAAGAAAACATGTAATAACAATACAAGTTGAAGAAAACTGAATAAACTGGGTTCCATTCAAGCTGGAATAAAAGGATGTACGGCTTTGGTAGCGGGTAGGAACTCTCTTCGGAGACATTCCTACTTCAGGGAAGTGAGTGCCCCTGCCTACATGAACTCCAGGTTCCCCTTGACCGGAGGGGTAGCAACCTGCAAGGGTCCCTCTACCAGGTTCACGGTAGATGGCATAGGGCAGCAGCTATGTCATTACTGGGGCAAGGCTATTGAAGAATAACTTCCCTAAAGACCCGACACCAGATATTCACAGGCGACAATCACATACTGATTGTACTAGTTGTGATACTGTGATGGAGAAGGCAATGGGAAACCACTCCATTATAATTCCCTAGTACAATCAAGCATGGCAGAAAGAGGACCTGGCAGGCCAAGAATCTCCTGGCTTCAGAACCTAAACTTGGTTCTCGATGTCCACTGGAGGGCTGTAAGTTGAAATTGCTATGCTGATCGCCAACATCCAGAGCAGATAGGCACATTAAGAAGAAGAAGGCTTACATGGGGTATGGGTAACATATCTGAAGACAAACATGAAGCTTGGGCCAGGCCGGATAAAATTAAAAAATTCTGACTTGTACAGACCTCTATGTTCATTGTCATTTGTGACTATCCTTACTTAGAACAGTTGCATTTAATCTAGAAAACAAATCAGTTTTGCGATTACAATGGGGATTTTCAGTTTACAGCAGAATGTATGTTTACAAACAACAGTTAAAAGAGATATAAATTTTAAATGCTTACCTATAGGTAAAAAATTATATGCTATTGGTTACATAAAGACGATGGATAAATAGGAACTTAATTTTGTTTATATACGACTTTGTTGATTACAGTATTGCATAAAAACATAAAACTAACTTGAGGGAGACATATAATTAATAAATATATTCACACTGTCTCAAATATATTATTCACCTGTAGCTGAGTCATATCTTCTATGGCCAGATACAATCGTGGATTTAAATTCTTGAGGTCCAGTAGGGGATGATGTTGTATTTCTTCAAGAAAAGCAGCTGAACGACGAGCAACAGGGTAGTGACGAAAATCCCAGTTGTGAATCGCACGAGCTGGAATAACCCACTCTTGTCCAACATGGCATTCAGTGCAAAAGTATCCTCCACTAAATGAGCAAACTCTGCAAAATTAAATTTGTAATACATCATTATCACAATGGTGTTACTTTAACCATTATTGTACAGGAAAAGGGTATTTAAATCCCTGGCCTAAAGGGCTGGTGTTTGGGCTGTAACTATACAGTTTAAAGGTTTAGCAGTCTGCTAGTCCGATGCATAGCCTAGCACAGCCTGTTGGAATGCATATAAGCAGTAATGTACAGTTAATTTTCATGTTTCAGAACTGAAGAGAGGAGAAGTTTGGCCCAATAAATAATTGTACATGTCTACATGCAAGAAAAATTGTGCAATAATTAGCCCATGTGACTTGTATATTCATGTCCATGTAGATAGATGTACTGTGCAAGTTTACTTGTTAGCAAGTGACTGTGAGGGTGAGTATTTTCATTGGAGACAATGACTGGATGTCACAACTGAAAGAAGGGAGACCAGCTTCAGTCCACAGTTATTGAAGTAAGAAATGCATCAGTAGTTGCCATTCCACTGTCAGTGACGAGACACAGAAATAAAAAGAACACTGTTAAGTGTTAAGTGTGGATGACTGATTGCATATCACAATCTTGTCCGAGTTTTAGACTGAACATGCTCAACAGATTTATAAGTAATTCAACTCTAAAGGGTTTTGTCAATGGTGGATTACACTTAAAATTATTCATTGTATTCCTGCACAGATGACGCTAGTGGTAGGTTATTCTCTATCTTATTATGTTTTTTAATTTCCTACGACGACATATAGGCTTGATTTGATTTGATGTCAATTATTGCGTTTTCGCTGCTGTTCATTTTTTGAGTTTTATGAGAGGTCCTATAGTTTTTATTTTGCCATATTCTGCTGACAAGACTCAGATGGATGTGGTGAGGCAGTTGGATGACATGTGTTGTCCAGTGATGGAGACTGGCTCCATCTAACAGACCCAACTGAGTAGGTACCTCTCGCCTGAAGACGGAAATAGAGCCAGTTTTCAAAACATAATGGTTTCTTCTTTTTTAAACAAGGACGATGGAAAAAGTCCAGACAATGAATAATTTTAAGAGTTTCGTAAGTTCATAACAATGTCAGCTGTGGAAGTGCAATTACTTGTAACTATAATTGGACTAATTGTTGAAAAAAATATATGTAATACTGAAGATAGCTGTTCCTGTTTGGGAATGTATTTTGATCACATTTCCATATTTAGCTTCTTTTGTTGGGTACCACATATAAATATTTTGCTATGGGAGATTTGGAGCATTAGAGTGGAATAAGATCTACCTAAACAGAGATTACAGGCAGAAATATGTGACAACAATACTGAAAACTAATAAAAATGTAGTATAAATAAATATAACATAAAAATCAAAATAATGTTTTATAGAAGAATAACAGTTTCTTATGATAAGTACTTAAAGGGTATTTATTTGTAAGTGTAAGGCAATAATGCACTGACATGTAACACAAAGCATTAAAAATGCATAGTTAGCCAGACATTTCATAGTATGTACAAAATAAATGGTATTACACTGGCAGGTTTGCTTATTGCACTGTCACAATATGAATTTTTCTCATATAAAGTGCTGAGAAGAAATGAATATTTAAGGTAGTGAAAATGAATAGAATATTCACAGAAATATACAGAAGAACTTAAATTAAAGAAAATACCTCATACATGATGAATGAAAACTGAATTTGATTTATCTGACCTGGCTTTGCCAAAATTCATTCCTACAGGATGACCACATCCCTTGCACGCATAATTCTGGTTGTCAAGGCCTGGTTCTGTCGCCAGTTTTCCCAGCTGTTGAACCAAACTTCCAAATTCCTGTAAACCAGTAATTAAAAAAATATTTAGTGCAATGTTTATTATTTTATACACTTTTCTTACACTTATCATAAATGTGGACTGAAGGTTTCCTAACTACAATATGACTCAGAATAAAGTATAAGAAAATTAACAGCATTGTTCTCAGTAAATTTTGATGAGATATGGGGCATGCTGTGTTACTGTACTATTGAAGATAATGCCATATTATTATGTGACTGTATTCCACATTTAACTGTAAAGAGTCTCACTGTTGCAGAATATGTGTTTTGTCACCAAGAATTATTTTCATTCATACAGAAATAGACAAGATGAGGCAAAGTCTGAACACGACATCATCAATCCCTATTTCAATGAGGATAAACACGGCACGTGACGACAGTTAATGAGATTAGATACTGATACAGACAAATTATCACATTTATTCATTCCCTACCACTGCAAGAACAATGGTTTCAGAAAGATGTAGCAATGCTGCAAAGCATTTCACATGCCTACAGATTTTCTGGTAACACTTCACACAGTTGGAAAGGAGTTGGCTGCCCTATCTCTCAAAATTCACCAGATCATATACCTCCCAGTGTATACTTAAGCAAGGAGTAAACTAGAACCCTATTCCATACAAGAGTGAAAGAAAATGCCCATCAGGTCTTAAGAGCATTAACACAAAACAATATTTTAAAATCTGTTAAAGCAGTACAAAAAAGGTCATGGATATGACGAAGGGCATCTTCAATGTAGCTTTATGTAAATGAATGTTTCTGCAATTGTGTACTTAAAATGAGGGTATACTTTATTCTGGGCCACACTGTACAACCCATACTTACAGGAATGTCAAACAGAGATGTGGGGGAGGTGGGAACCACTTCAAACCCCAGTCCATACAATGAGGAGAACTATAACAAATTGAAAATGAGACCAAAGTGTCAGCCATTACAATTAATATTATATAGTTTCAGGGTCTGATTTGAAAATAAACATTTATTTATTGAATCATATATTCACCTGGATGTGGTGAGAAATAGAACACACTCGTGACTTAAAAGGAGGAGAGGAAAATGGGAACCTTTAAAATAATGTTCATCCAATATCTGTGTATATTTGTAAAAGCCTAATGCACCTTGCTGAAGAATAAACATTTCAAGAATAGAGAATGACCAATTTAAGCCTTCCTTTTATATTTCTCACACATACTTGTATTAAAATTATAACATGGACAAGAGCCTTACTTAAGAAACAAGCTTTTTAATATAATAATAATCAATTCTGCACAAAATGAACTTAACCCCCCCCCATTTTCCCATATAACAGTGGACTTAGGAATTAAAAGTCATTAAATATGTCACATGAAGATGGTCTCAGCAGTACGATAACTGAGTTACATATTTAATAAATACATTTATGATGACAATCGTATGTTAAATGACATAGAAAAATAGTCACTGTTGTGTGTTTACTAAGGATTTGTGGTATGCATTTCCTGGAGAAGAAATGAAGACAGCATGCAAATAAGTATGAAAATAGTTGCAGAAATTCATGGAAATCAAAAGTAAAAAAAAAGGCCAAGTATAGTGTACAGACACCATAAAAACTAACTCTCACTCAACAATCTCAAAGTAATTTAAAATACACAAATTTCAGAAAACTATAACAGGAAAATAACAGGTGGCAACTTAAAAGCTAAGTGTTCAATACATCTGTTAGGTTACTAACTTGATGCTCAAAACTTCTTAAGTAACCCCACATGAAACAAATGTTATAAAAAAGTGATATGAAGATAGCCCAATAACAGCATCCATTACAATGTCAGGAGTCTCTACATGCCAGGTTGTTTGCAAAATGCAAGTTAAAATTTGGGCATAAAGGGCATCAGATGGAACAAAGGCAGCACTGGACCAACAGCTTATACTTTGTTCTAAACTCAAACAAGTAAATTTTAAAATATCAATCAACAGGAACTAAGAAAGAAAACAGTCCATTAAAATTGATACAGAAGTGTAATTTGAATCTGTGAACACAAAAACCCTAAAATGATCTCCAATGTAATACGTATAATCACTGTTTCCTTTTTGGGGGGGACATGCACTCGTGCAAAATCTACCAGACTACACTGAGTAATAACCCAGAAGACAGCAGTCTTCAGATTCACCACTGTGTGTTTACATATATACTATCAACATTCTAGTCCAGTATTTTTTCCCATATTACATAAACTACTAATTACTTGATATTTATATCGGTATACTTAAATTCCAATAACAATTTTTTTCTATCCTTATTCTAGAAAAATGAAGACAAATTAAAGAAATATGTTATATGTGGGTACATTAATCTTCCTGTAGTTTGTCTGTAAGGATAAAAAGAACAGTTAAAAGAATCAAAATCTACTTCTAAATAAGCAGGAAATACTCAAAATGAACAGACTAAAATATTGTAACTATACTATCATACACATGCAAGGGTCTATACAGATTATTTTACACCTTCTACAACTGTTATTTTAATTTATGACATCAAAGGATGAATGGTTATCAATGATAAACTGGAAGGAATAATATAGTGGTCATGTTCTAATTTAAAGTTTGCTCGGAAGGGCTGGGGAACGTTGCAAAAACTTATTATCACCACTGTATACATTCAATCTTAAGCCAATGTCTTTAAGATGTTTATCACACAGCAAAACTGCTCATTAATGTTCAGTTTCTTTTTGAAATCTTTGAATATTATACATGCATGCACATGCACAATACATTACAGTAATGTGTGAAAACAATTTGACAAATTTTTGCAATATCTAACAATGATGATTTTAAGAATATCTACATTTTCAGATTCAGCCATCCTTCTTCCATGATCCTAAACAGAAAATTGATTATACTTCCTTCACTTTAATAAAGTGAAGTGAAATTAACTGTAGACAATCACTAGAATACTGAATTTATGCAACATTCTCTATAATTTAACCCCTTCCCTGATTTTCTTTTTGAAAATATGACCTGAAAACATTTTATTTGCCATTTGAAATATACTCATAAAAATTAAATTATTGACATGTTTTTATAAAAAATATTTAATTGTACTGTTAATGATTCTGATGATATAAATAAAATAATTATTATCCTAAGACAACCCAAATTAACTTCAGATATTTTTTTTTTGAAAAAATCATCCTGAGATATCTCAGGATAATCAGGGAAGGGGTTAATGTTCCAACATTTCTGCACTAAAACCACCAGTAATACAAAAATGTTGAAAGGGCAGAGTGTGAAAGATTTGTTCCCCACAAACATGTCAATATCATTAATGTATCTCATTACAGTAAACATGTTAATACTACACATCAATAGTAAAGGTAAACAGCAATATCAATTCCACTTACTACTGTATCTAAGACATACCAACATGATTTTATTTTATATTACCAATTAACCAATGTTAAAACTTATAAATCACAATAATAGGTATTCACTACTGATATCACATTCCCTGGTTATCAAACTGATGAAGAAAAAGTCGGATTCCTTACTGAAAAAAAGATTAGTGTAACGTAATATCTAAATGCAACAGAAGGCTTTTATTTATTATGCCCTGTCGGGACTAAGATTTTAAATCTTTTATAAGATCAATGGAACTGTTCTACCGATATTCATGACTACCTTATTTTAAATCATAGTAATAAACAAAACATTAAACTCTACATTAATTTACTAACTTATCTGCTGAAAGACTTAAGGTAAAAGCTGTGGCAGATATACTTCTAAATTTTGGTAAGGAAATAGTCATGGCCTACAAATATCACATCTAAGTTCAATCTAGAATAAAATTTAATCCCTGATGCTGTATGAGAGTCGCTACCAGTACATAAACAAATTAAGATATATGTATGCTTGTGTGTTATATTTTGTTTTAAAATGTTTGTTTTATCTTTACTTCATGCAACAGACTGCTGAACAAGGTGTATTTGTAACCAAAACTGGATTTAATTCCAATGGATTCTATGAGAATATCAATGCTGTATCACCTGTAGAGTACATACAAGGGAAATTCAGAATTGTATCAGCAATAACGGAATATTTTTGTTGTATGACTGGCAACAATGATGAGGCCTGATCATACTGTAGCTCATGCTGAGAATATGGTTCACTTAATTCTAATCCCATCCTGATGGCTTATTCTACAGCAAAGTTGAAAATTAATGATGATAAAATGTTTCCTTGTTTCAGACCATTCTGAACTGGAAATGTATATCTATAAAGAATTGACCACAGGTGTCATTTTAATTACCCTAACTAGTTTAATTGGTATATTGTATTCAATGAGAATATTGTACAACACTTCATTCTCACTCAATCACAGGTTCTTTTAAAGTCCATAAACAGCTGATGTTCTCCCATGTGAACAGATGTTAAGTAGGTTCCTACTGCCACAGCATGGCATGTCCTTGGGTTACGGAAGGGGGAGAAGACCTCCAGATATGGAGGACAGTTGTGAATATACTGATTAAGTAGCTGAGGACAGCTGATAGGGGTGGGTCCTCCAGCTAGGTAGTTGATCAGGAGGCTAATAACTCCCAGCAATAAAAAATCAGCACTCTATGAAATGTTTCACAGGTGTCTAGGAATCTTTTACTTCTAGGAATAGAGATTGCAGAATGTAACTGACAGTAGTAATCTCTAAGCAACATTTATATAAAAAAAGGAAATATAGTTCTTTTGAGCACAGGGAACATAAAAGAAATGGATCCCTCTATAATATAAAAACCAGAAGCAAGCAACCTACAACTCAAGCATCACTTTGAATTGCACAAAATACGTGTGAGAAACGTGAACAATGTCTTTTATTTAAATGAGAATGAAAGAATGCTGGAAGCCTTAGATACACTGCAAGGAAGAGGTGTACATTATATAGGGGTGGTTAGAAACCCTTTCTGAGAAATTTGAAATTAAGTGAACACATCACAGTAAACAACATACTCCACTACATTTCTCTAAATTGTAATAAGTGTCTTCATAAAAATGTTATGGTGCAAAATATAATGGATCAGGTTATATCAGGATTAATGTATGAGAAATGCAAATAAGAACAAACACAAATGCTCACTGGAGTTAGATTTTTAGGGCCTTTATTTTCTCTACAACTGCATGTTTTTAAGGTATAACTAATATCTTTTTATATTGGGTCAAAGATGAAATTCTATGTACATGCCATTTGACATAAATATCTTTTTATGTATATTGGTATATTACAATTCTGATGGATCGGGTAGTTTGCATGCAACTGAACAAAGCAAAAGCTGTCATCTAAAATGTCTTGATGTTCAATACTGAAAAGCCAACATTCAAACTGAGAGTTTTCTTCTAAATTCAGTTTGAACAATTCAAGACTTTCACATGCTTATTTCTTATGAAAATACAGATGACAATCACAACAAAATTATGACTTTGTATAAAAAATTGGCATAACATGCACTTATTGCTTTTAGAGGCTACTATATACTAATTTTGTGAAAACAAACTGACTTCAGAAACATCTTCCACATCTATTCACAAGGGGTTTACCAAAAATGTTTTGGACATTATATAAATGCCTATATTATACAAATATCTGATAGTAATATATTGACCTACATTAACTATAAATCATGTTTCCTGTTAAGCCATGCTGTGCTTAAAACATTCTTGAAAAACAGATTTCATACAACAACTTCCAAATTGAACTTTATATTAACCAAATAACCTCCAAAATTTTAGGAAGTTCTTTTAGTAATGCTAAAATGAATTGAACTTTCAGCAAGTTTTTTAGTAGTAAATAACAAAATTAGATTTTAATACGTGAATTTTGGGATACGACTTAAAATAAGCGTTTATGTTAATTTCTTCTTATAACCACATCATTTATTAATAATTGTTATTGTGTCTATATCAAGTATTTAGTCATTTAAGTACAGCAGAAAAAATAATTTAATCCTTCAAATTATGACATGAGATAATGAATGACAACCATTGTTGGAAAAGGGGCCCTGCAATCAAAAGAAACTGCTCATTTACTCAATAAAAAGAGTGAGACATAGCTAGATTGTAGAGGCCCACAATAAATAAAATACTCTCATTTAAATAAAATTATATCTGAAACAGGACCAAAAAAATGGGAACAAAGACACATACCGGAAAAATGTAAGTACATTTCTTTGCACTTACTGGATCGTCTGCTTCAGCCCCAGGTGTAGTATCTGCAGCAGATTCTGAGCCATCAAACCGCTGCAAGAAGTCTCTAAGATCAGGAGTTTTGATGTATGATCCAGACAGAAGATTGTAGCTCTCCAAAAGAGAATGGTAACTTTGTACCTCACTAGGACTTCGAAGTAATGTCTTACTTCTTGCTGATGCGACAGATTTCTGAGAGATTGGCAGAACTGAATCCACATCTTCAGAGTGGATCTCACCTCCATTCTCTTGATCTGGAACCTCTTCAAACGAAGATGACCAGCCTGCTCTTCCAACAAGGGAGTTACCGACACTAGACGGACCATCATCAGTCCAAGATGTGTCATCACTTCTTACTGGAATATCTGTTATTTGGCTATGACTAATTTCTACTGTACTTACGTCCCCACTTAAACCTAGGCCTGAACTTCCTATACCTCCCTGAGTTACTTCTGTATTCCTTAAGAGAACTGCAGGGTTAGCTATAGGGGCATCATCAACAGGTGTGCCTAAGATAATTTTTAGTGCTTCATCCTCACTTAGGGCTAACATTGTTCCTAACCCAGAACCTTCATATGAGTGTGATGACAATGACAGTGCAGAGCTTATTGAGTCATCGGCATCACCACTGTCTAATGTACTAGCAACATCTACACCAGATGTCACAGGACAAGAACGCAGCGGTGGTGTCCAAAGTCCAGCAAGGAGAAGTGGTTGATTGGTCCAGACATTGAGTAGACTAGAATTGCATGCCAAAGAAAATGGGCAAGACTCTATGCCTTCCACGAGTCGTTGTGCTACATCTAACATTTCTGTATCACGTAAAAAAGCTGAGCGCCGATAGTATGGCTTCAATGCACTGCCATCACGGCGCATTGACACAAAGTAGCTAGAGAGCAAGCCATCATTCAGAGCCAGCCGTAACCATGCTCTGCAACGGCCTACGTCTGTAGTAACCAAATTCAAAGCATTGATCTGTAACAACAAACATGAAAAAAATAGTTATAAGTACCTAACAGTAAATGCACGACAATGATGAAGACTACTTACGATATTTAAAACACTACAAGTATATTACAAACTGAATGTGACAGAATTTTCTGGAACTCTTTCATAATATTCTTTCAAAATTTGAAACAACAAGGTGTGTTTCTTACTTTCAACTTTTCTGCAAGATTTTCACTGGCATTTAAAGCATCTATGCAAAGATGGTAAAATGGCAAACTCCAGAACACTGACTTATTTCTTTTGTTAAGTATATTCTGTTATCCATTTTCTTTAATTTGCTAGAACAGTATCACCATCCACCTTCAACATGCATTTCAGCTGAAATTTCACAATTCTATCTTCACATAGTCCTAAAAGAAAACACATCTGCAATAATGACAGATATAAACTGCGTACTAACCAAAATGCTTTCTTTACAATTAAGCATACTTCAGTTGCCTCATTGTTAATTTATTACAAATGCAAAGTTACCACACTCAAGAATAAAATAATGCACAAACATACAAACTGTTTTCTTTTGTATTTAGTAAATTTAGAAATTAAATATGCAGATGGACACAGTATCTCTATTAGGTGTTCACATTACGCAGTTTGTAACATTACAACGTGCAAATATCATAACAAGAATTGTTTCACTTCTTGACTATTTATTAATGCTTAATCAACAGTAAATTTATGTAACATTGAGAAATGTTCTTGATCAAATACATACACAGCTTCGGAAGGTAAAAGCAGTGCATGGGACAACAATCTATATTTTGTTACTGGGAGATCATGGACGCATGTAAAAATCTCATAGGCAATGCTATGGAAAATGGCTTCATGCTTATATAACAGCACCTTGACAATTACAAAAACAAATGTCGACATTGAGTATTCCTTCCTACAACACAGATAAGAACCACATAAAAAATAAAAATTCTGTACTTGGGCAGTAAATGAAAGTAAGGATTCAAAGAGTAGTCAAGAGGTCAACTGAACTCCTCTCACCTATTTTATAAAGTGCAAAATGCAACTCAAAGTACGTTAAACATTTACCTTAATTACTTACATTAACCAATCTACCTCCTAATCATGTGTTTGTTTGGTTCTCAACTATCTTTTAAAATATACTGGGTCCACTGCAGCTAAACAGTGAAGTTAAAAGTTTATTTCAGTGTTACCTCTGCAAGGAAACATTTTTCCTCCCTGATTCTGAGTGTCTTTGCCTCTATTCTCATTATATTCATTTAAAATAGTCACAAAACAAAATTTTTATAATGATGTGGTCCCAAGGTACCTTTTTTTTAACTTTTTTAAGAAAATTCTATAAATTAAGTTTCTTATTTACCAAAACATCAAATTTATCATGAAGGCAAGTGCTGCAGGTCTGTTAGCACACACAACTTTCAATATATCATAACCAGTGTACAGAAACTTTAAAAAACATACTGTAAAAGTTAAGCCTTATAGAACTGAATTTACAAGTTTTGTGAACAAACCCATCTGCTCACCCAAACAATTTGCTGGGGTGTCAAGTTTTCATAAAATTCCTGGTAGTGACACATTTTAAAGTTATTAGTTTCAGCAAGTCTTTTGTTTCCTACAATAAATGTGTTTCTTGGCCTTCTTTCCATCTGGAAATTTCAATTATAAACCGATAGATTAATTTAATTTGTTGTTATTATTATTGTCAGCAACAGTAGCTGCAGGATTCAATCTTCAGAAAACTTTGTCTGTAGTGGTCTTAGTTCAAAATACCAGGCAGTAAATACACCAATCACTCTTAAATATTTTGTGTGAATTTTCCACCCACAATATGTGGTATATTGATTTCAGAAAATTTAAAATGAGAGAAAAAGTGCACATTAGAAAAACAAAATATAGTACCTTGAAATGCAATGAGTTCTTTTTGCATTTACATCAACTGGGGATTAAAACACAGAACATTATGGGAATATCGAAGGAAAAAATTAATCAATAAGCTGTCACTGCCAAATAAAACTTTAACTACTTAAGAGTTGCAGGATTCAGGATTCTGTTCTTGATGGTATTTCATGCGACTTTAAATAGCAAGCTTGTAATACAGTGAACTGCAATTATAGTTTACTTTTTCAGTTCCAGACTTCACTTTAAATATTCAATACTTTTTTCTTTCTATGGCGCAACAGCCCAAACCGAGCCTTGGCTTCCTCCCATGTGGGAGGTTTCTTTGTCTCTTAAGTGCGCAAGTGAGTAGTGAGTGACAAGCCCACTGCCTCTGCATATTTTCTACTCAATCCTGATTTGTCTGCTAGAGCCATCTAATAGTGAATCAGGAGAAACTTGGGTGAGAAATGGCCGCTGAATTCTGCTTGTGAAACATCTCGCTTCATGCTCGTAAGGTTCTTTTACATGCTGTAAATCTAAGACAAGGGACTGCTGCCTTTACTTCCCCTCTGAAGGAAGTTGTGCTACAGATTTTTATCACTCTTAAAAATCCATCGACCTTGGCCAAGTTTGAACCAGCGAATCTTAGGTCCAGTGGCGAGCATGCCAACCACTAGTCCACCGAGGGCAATATTCAATATAAACATTTACATATAAAAGAATTCATGCCCTTACCTGATCTATAATTTCACGGTGTGAAAATATAAGAAGTGGTCCCCAACAGCTGGGTTCTGGTCGTTGATCAGGGTCTGCACTTATTGCCTGTGAAACTCTATTCATAAAAGTGTCTTTCAGTGCATGTATGAAGATAGCTTCAAGAACTGTGCACAAGGATGCAGTAGTATCAGCACTAACATGGGTTTTGGACATTTCTAGTTGGATCTCCTTTACACTTGAAGACAACTGAGATATCAGGGATTCTTTCACCAAGTCCTCTCGCCCAGTAAGAGATGTCACACTCCGCAGTAATGAATTCATTTTGAATTACAAAAACTTATTAGCTTCATTCATGTCAAATACATCATACATCATCAATGTAAGTCTGTTTAGGGTATTCATGCACTTCAAAAGTTACTCAACCAAAATATGTCTCCTGTAATTTTAATGTAAAATATTCATCATGTTCTACAAATGCAAAATGTTCTAATACTGCCTTAGTACTTGCAAGAGCACTGCCAGGCCTGAGAATGTGATATTTCCAAGGAACACTGAGATCCACAACTGTGGAGCCAGCACGAAAGGACGCACTATCTCCTATTCTTCCAGAATGAAACACACCTGCCAAATGAGGCCACAGGCTCCGGAACTCCTCAGGATCTAAACAGCTGGGTTTATTACTGGCATTAGCACTAGTCAAGGCTAATGGAGTTCCAAGTCTCCTGCACAACTGGAGCACAAATTCACTGTCAGGAATACGGATTCCAACTTTGTCAATGCCTGGATTCAGTTCTGGGTTCAGACTTGAAGTGCGCTCTAAGACAATGGTAACAGGTCCAGGCAAGAGGGCATCTAGTAAACCTGATGGGAGGTTGTTTGCCTTTCCCCAACAAGAAACTGATTTTACACTGTCAACACATATAGCCAATGGCTTCTTCTGATCTCGTCCCTTGATCTTGTACACCTGTCTGATAGCTTGTGTGTTTTGAGCTGCCGCTGCCAAACCGTACACTGTATCTGTTGGAAGCGCAATTACTTTACCCTCTGATATAAATCGAGCTGCAATTTCTAGAGCTGCGGGAAACCACTTAAACTCAGCCACAGATATCAAGGAAGACATAGGATGACTTTAAAATTGATGACAGTAACAGAAAAACTAATACTTCTGTCCAGAAGCAACAAACTTATGAACTAGTCACGCCAATTATGTCCACATACAATGTTACAGCACTTGTAGAATGTAGTCATAGGTTCGTCAGCAGATCGTGTCTGAATTTGCATGAAGTATGCTCGAGTATGGAAACATTTGGGACATCGCTCATCTGTTGAATCTACATTCTCCCATGCAGCAGCTCCTCCCATAACATCATCCACTTCCTGTAATAAGTTTTCATAGTCATATGAAATAAACTAGTGTAATTAAATTTGAATGAAAATAGAGATATGGAATCGTCAGTAACAAGTGAATTTCTTTAAAATACAGTCATAAATTTCAGAAGTGTCTTTAATAGAACCAAAGATCATAAGCATCAAAGGAATATGAAGTTATTATGAAATTGTTTCCAAAAAGGAAGTAAATCTGTTGTTCAAACTCTATTTCATATGGACACAACAGATTAATACAATAAAGTTGGGACTTTCAACAGAAAATAAAATTATACATAAATTGGAACAGATATATATATAAAAAATTGCATTCAGAAAAACAAGTTTTGGATTATGTTACATACAGTTCTTTCTGTACACATGTATTTAAACATTACTCAGTTCCACAAATTAACTAAATTCAGTTTGGCATAACAAATAAAGAAGTTGCTGGAAAGACAGAAAAAAAATAGAGAACCCAAAGAAAATCAACCAATATTACTGTAAGTGTGAAACAGTAATTTTGTCACGAGGACACCATCTCTCAGAATTTGGAAATTTTAAAATCTGAAACAGAAACTCTGCAAAAATATAGTGGCAATACGGATGAAACAAAATTTCATTTATTTTTTATGCCTGCACTTATTTTCCTTCTTTTATTCACATATGATAATAAGAGGAGCAATGTTGGTTCCTCAGCGTGAAAGACTAAACATACACAAATTACAACACTGAAGCTTTGCACATTGTCAAAATATGATACGGTATGCATGACATGCCGTCAAACTAATATCAATGCACAAAGTTTTCTGTGTTGTAAAGTAAGATGCATTCCAAGCTAAAGGGAAAAAAAAACGTGAATGTAGCAAGCAAGCACTGATCAGATATGCATTTATAATGACAAACAACTCTAAACCTGCAAGCCTGTCATCCTAGTCTAATGTGTTCTATGCTATTTTGGCAATAGCAAAGTGTGACTACATTAAAATATTGTGTACTTTCAAGAATAAAGAAAATAATTGTGAAGAAATGAAATTTTACAGCCTTCATACCAACTATAAATATAGTGATTACAGAAGATCTCACTCAGAACTGTGCCTGGGTCACATACACTGTAGACAAAAGTGCTATCAACCAAGTTATCATGGTCAACATGAGGTTGTCTCCTCGAATGAGAACAATGTTGTGAAAAATGTTCAAAATAAAATTACACATTTTAAAGAAACTGGAATGTATGGGTCAGGATATTAGAGGAGGGTTAAGTGCAAAACCAGAGCCGAACAGGAAAGTAACAAAGCAACAGGCCTCCTTATTAGACATTAAATAATTTTGTTAACTTTAAACTTCTACTTTTTGTACAAAATTCAACTATTAAGAGATAAACTGTGGAACTGGACACTTTCCCATCTTTTGTCTTCCTACCCCACATGAGCTCATTTTGTAATTTCACCAAAAAATTGTTTACATAAAATAATAACACTGGCCTTTTCAATCATGAATAAATGATGAACAAACATCTCAAACTGTAAAATTTATATTATTCCTTCTTTAATTAGAAAGCTTAAAAATAACAAACTTGCTAGCATGTTATATTGGTTACAATGAGCTTAAAACAATATGAAACAGCACAGACTGGAACTACAGATTAAGAAGAGAAATAAATGATATTAATCAGAAATGGTCATCACAATAGTAACAGCCAATGCTGGAAGTTACTCCTAAGCTGGCCACACACACCAGAGCCTGTAATTTTGCAGTCATTCCACACCAAATCAAAACAGCTCACAAACTAACCTCATCTGATTTGCAAGAAAATTGCAAAGATAGTACAAGTCACAGATACTCACAAGTTTATAAGTGGGGGAGAAATTGTGAAAGTCAACCAACTTCACCTAAGACAACAAATATTCTAAAATGTGAAAATGTACTTTTCTTTTTTGAAAGAAGAGAAAACTATAATTCATGCACCATTTAATATCACAACAGTATTTCAAATTTCAGTCTGGAACTGCCTTGTGATTAGAAGTTACTCATTTATTGAGCTAGGTTATCTATACAGAAGACCATCTGTCAAACACTGCCTTTCTGTGCACCAAAGTGTAATATAACTAACTAACTAATTAGATGGCTTACAGAACCCGAAGTTTCATTGCCGAACTAACCAAAGCCCTCCACTAGACCCTGTCCTGGGCCAACAAAATCCAGTCTCCTTCAACTCCTATCTCCCATAGATTATCCTCCCATCTACTTCTCCCCAGTGGTCTCTTCCCCTCAGGCTTCCCAAACAATACTTGGTGCACACATCTTGCCCCTCCATGTGTGCCACATGTCCTGCCCATCTCAGTCTTCTTGACTTATCACCCTGACAATACTGGGGGAGGTGAACAAATTTCTAAGCTCATCATTATGCAGTTTTCTCCATACCCCAACATCATCTTCTCTCTTGGCCCAAATATCCTCCTCAATACCCTATTCTCAAACACCTTCAATCCATAGCTTAATATAACTACCACTAATGGTGCCATTCTCTTCCTACACAGATTTCATTTGCATAACTAGAAACCTAACCTGCCCTACTCTCACACCTCATTAATTTTATTCTCATTCATACCTAACTTTATACTGATATTTTAATATAGTCATTAAATTTACAGCGTTAGTAAAATTTATCATTCTCTTATAAGCAAAATTTTCATGATGTTAAAAACACAAGAAGGAACCTTTCATTCTCCAAACTAGGTTATGTTTGAATGTTAATCGGCTGTGTAGACCACTAACTTAAACACATCAAATTCACGTGTTTTTGCAAAGAACCCAGAAAAACCTGAACGTTAATAAAGGATGCACTCCAACCTTCAACCGAGGATAAATACGAGAACCAGTAACATGTCTGATGTTATATACATATGGGCAGGTGAAACAACCAAATCTCAGAAACAAATTCCCCTCTTCGACGATGAGAGTATTAGCACAATTGGGACAAAATAGTAACATTGCCTATACTAAATAGAAGTCTCTATAAACCACTGCAATTTACATTTAAACAGCTAAATGACTGAACTTACAATGCAACTAAATTTTCAACACCTGTATCCCTATACCGTGCATGACCCACTACATGCTGAATTTATCTGTGAATTATATTACGGTCTTACAATCAGTTCTCTATGGGCACGGATTTATCCATAATGTTGTATTCTTTGACTGTACAAGAAAATCCATTACAAACTTTTATTTTGTTCTTCAGTCAATAATCTCAAAGGCGATCCAAGGAGTTGGCCTTGTGATCTGCCATTCAGGGCGTTGCACTTGTAGGCAGAAAATGAAAGTAAAATTATGGCTTTTGAAGGAATACATTTGTGTGATCAAGAACAGTATTAAATAATGTAATGGTTGATCATGTCAATAAATTGGACTTTCTATAATACGTATACAATACCTTGCTAAGAGTAAATAGGTGGCCTATACATGGTAAAAACGTAATTCTTGTAAATATGTGTTCATGTAGCTACTTACATAAGTACAACACCACAATATGTGAAAGAAAATATATTTTTAAGAGAAGAAAATACCACTATCCTCAACACCATTGAATACTCTTACAATTTAAGACTTATTAACAACTCAAAGAATCTCGCGCAGTTTTGCATCGACAAAAGCAACTTTGTTTTTCGGAGTAAAACAGCTTGGTGAACAGCTGAGCAGAATGAAAAGCACCGATCATGTGTTAGAGTAATTAATGCAAGATGGCATAATCTCGAAATATTGTTATTTTGCAGTGACGGTCAAAATAAACGCCGCAGTGCTTATTACGTTAAAACCGACGGTCCATTGACAGAAACGATTAAAGAAGACATACACAGATTTAAATGATGGCATTCACATCACTTTTAAAATCCGGTGAATAAGAGGGTAACAGTGAATAATAAATTGAAAAAGACGTGGAATACAGCGCTAATGGCCTAATTGTATGGTCCTATCCCGACATTGGCCTGGAGGTCTGAGGAAAACCACGAAAAACCTTAGTCAGGATTGCCGGTCTCAAAGCCGGAATCAGGGATCTCTCGTATACGAAGCAGGAGGGCTCGTTGAACCCAATGAGATATATAATTCGGCAGAACAAAGTACAACAGACAAGGGCAGGCTGTTTTTAAAGAAACAGGAAGATAAATTTACCAGCAGAAAACGTATTGCAACGTCATTTCGCAGAACAATGGTCATCAACAGTATTGCGCAACCTTTCTAAACTCGAATAGTCATTGCGGCACACCAACCCAATTTTGCATATCGTGGGTGGGGTGGGGGTGGATCTTTTATGGAATTGATTGGCCGCGACAACTTCTTCTAAATCGACCCCAACCGAAAAATGTTCTATTTCATGTTTATAATAAATCATTTTTATTATTATGTCATTTATTTTAAATATATTCATTATTTTAAATATAAATTAAAATATAATATTTCCTACCGTTTGATCCAAAATTTATTAACTATGTATAAACATTTAAACTTAAAGATACTTATTTGTATTTATACATGTATATTGCAGAAAATACACAGAGTATCAATAACATTAAGGGCAGATACACATGTTTTGCTGCAAAGTGGTTGTGTTGTTTTCCAATTCCGTTTAGTAGATCTTATCTGTCTGCGCGATCGTAATAAAGAAAATGAAAACTGAGACAGATCAGAAAACAAGATTAACAATTATTTATCTCATTACGGTTATAATTATAATAAGAGGTGCAAATTTCGCGGCACACCTAGATGGCCTCTGCGACACACCGGTTGTGCATCTCTGGTCAACAGTAAAGAAATGCAAAGAATTTGGTTTCATCTGTTAGCATCAGAATTTGAAAAGCACAGGTTTGCTGCAGAGGGGGGGGGGGGGGGATCAGTGTGTTTGAAACAGTTTTTAGTGAAGTCGAAAGTAAAGTTCCTACCTCGTGTTTTGGCTCTGAAACGGTTGGCAGCTAGATTTGCTGAACGTGGCTTATTAGTACTCTGCTGCATGATCGAAAGTAGGATCTTCATGCTATTTATGCTGACTTCTCTTACAAAATTATGAGTTCCCATTCATGGTAGGTGTCCCTCCCGGGGCCCTTAGTTTATGCCATCTCTCTGTATAGATACAGATCTATGTTTACTTCACAGAAATCACTCCAGAAATGTAAACGTTCTGAACTTAGCTGATGAGAACTATATCTGCACGTGTTTATTTTACCACGTGTTCCATATAAGCTAAAACCTCTCGACATGTCATGTATTGCTACGTTTACACTGCGAGGGTTTATAGATTACCTTACTAGCTACGGCAGTATGCCTGTATATTAAAAGGAGGAAACCAAAACGAAAGTGGTCAAAGCAATGGCTCTTAAACAGAAGCAATTTAAGTCACGTCAATTTAATTAGTGAACTGAGTTTGGAGCCGTCAGACTGGAGAAACTATTTACGAATGGATGAGTGTGCTTATTTCCGCTTATTGGGGCTAGTCACGCCTGTGATACAAAAACAGGACACGAATATGAGACAATGCATCAGTCCTCATGAAAGATTGTCAGCGACTTTGAGATTTTTGGCTTCAGGCATGAACTATGAAGAACTGAAGTATGTGACAGCTACTTCTCCACAACGTTTAGGAGTAATTATCCCCGAGACTTGCAGGGCAATACTGCAGTGTTTGAAAGGATACCTTAAGGTAAGGTCAGGATTATTACTATATTTGTTAAAATTTAATTAGTTTCTAAATGTAATTATTTTTTTACATTTAATTAGTTTCAATTAGTTCGTGAATCACATGACTGATGATGCCACTTAAGAGGCGAAACATGTCTCATAATATATTTTAACTTATTTGTAAAATACATGGCAACTCTCTATATTTATCAATAACATCAATAACGAAATCACGCCCCGACATTATGCAACTTTCGACTTGACTGGACGAAGGCTCGTGGCAGACTGGCATGAGAATGGACCACGTTTCCGCCACTCACGATACGATGGCGCGATGGAGTGATGGAGCGATCGGATGGATTATGGCTCGACAGAATATCCAGACGAGCCCACCGCGCCACGCCAATGGACTTGAGTTTCCGCATTCACAGTACAATTTTGGAGCGACACCGCGCCATTTGGACGAATGGAGCGATCGTGAATGGCCGGCTTTAGGGATTATGATGTGTGTAAACGGTCCGGAGAGCAGGTAAATATTTCCCTCAGTCTAAAGTCTAAGCAAAGAAGAGAGAGGGAAGATAGCTGAGGTCAGCTGTCGTCGTGTGAACCATACAGCAATAGTGCACGTTCTGAATAGGGCTAGAGAAATCCAATTTGGTGATTTTGTTGTGGCAGAACTGCGCGCACTACGCAACCAATTGCTAATGCGCCAAGCAGAGCGCAGTATCATGGTCATATTACTAAATACGTCAACAGCAGACGATGGGTTATCCACGTACTGAGTATCACCAGGTCCGTCCTTTTCTTCTGCTTCAGGAACACCGTCACCAAGTGCACAAGGTGCACTCGAGCCCTACCAAAACATACGAATATACATTACCGATTTATATACTTATATATGTATGTGTTATATTAATCAATAAATGTTATTTTGTATCACATAGCAAATAATAAACTCTAAACAGCATTTATGTTTAGTTCCCATGGTTTGTTGCACTTATCTTTAGTATTCCTAGTTCCGTCATTGAATTTGTTATTGCTTTGCACACTTATGGTACTATACCTCTGTGCTAACCTAACCAAGATGGAGTCTCGCGCAAGCGATCGACGTCGTCCCTACCTAAGTTTGGCCATTCTTGCATACGAAACGTATAACTAAGTGGTAAACTGTGCCATAAAACTTTAGCTGGGAATGTGATTACGGGAAACCTCGATCAGGGTAGCCGAATAATGTCAGACACTAGTCATTGCATCGACTTGCCCTCCTTGTTACGGTCGTTGTATTTTGTACAAAATACCTTATATAGTTGAGATAACGTTATCAATGTGGCTACGATATTTCAGGCTTTAGTAAGAGCCATGTTGAGAATTCTAGTTCTGTTAACACAATATTAGTAGCACTCATAATTTACTTTCTGTTGGACGGATCCAATGTTCGTCACGCTTGCCTGTACAAGGGCGCCATTCATGCGATGCGGAAAGAATTGGAATAACTTCTAAAGGTGGCAACTCTGGTAGCTAGAAATGAAAATGAGGTTTGAGTGACATCTATTGTGGATTCTGACAGAGTTTGAGTTTGGCGGGAGATTTTAAACTGGAACCTGAAAGTCGGTTTAATATTACTGCGTTTAAAAGGATAATAACTTTAGGATCTGCGAAGATGTTTTTACATTTTATTTACGTCATAGAATATTGTAATTTTGGACATTCAATGTGATATGCAAATTCAACACTGCAATAAATTATTTTACTGTTCAACACACAAAGGAAGTCCTATTCCTGTCAAGTTTGACACTATAGTTAGTACAGAATGATCATATTTAATTTGCTTTTTAATGCGTGTATTTAAAGTAGCTGTTCAATGGTAGTCAACCTGAAAGTTTTCATCGGCATCTTGATTTAACTCACAAAGGGCAGTAATTGTTGTTGTTGAGTATTGGATTCGACGGAGGAATACTGAACAAGTTTGTGAAATTAAACAGACCATTGTTGGGCCTATTATTAGAAATTTTACCTACATTATAATGTAAATAGAGGGACAATGGATGGTAATGCATTCCGTTTCAGATAAATTTTCAACGACAACATGATATAATAGTCGGATACGATGGTGATTATATGCGATAATTTCCTTAAATCGCAGTTGAAATATTGTTCTAGTATTCGAAGTTCCGGGTCATGCAGTATTATAGTCGTGTATAAATCTGATGTATGTAAATTACTCATAAGTCTTACAAAATCAATAGCGGAACGTAACTGCGTGATTTTAAGTAAGAAGGGACCAAGAATGGAGTTAGGAGAGGACTAGTTGTTCGACCAAGAAGCGGACTAAGTTCCATTCTCGCTGACCAATTAGAATCCGCAGATTTAAACTAACTAAAACGCGTAATTTTTTTTAAAGAACGTTTTTCTAAACCTTGGTGACACTAAACACTTACGACTTGGTCGTGGAAGTGGTCGCCCTTCCTTGCCGCTGCTCGGACAGTCACATTCCACTTACTACTCAACTTATCCGAGGAACGGTCAGAACCGAAGGGAAGAAAAGTGATTCAAGTTTCTTATTTTTTTAGTGTGAACTTCAATTAACTAACTAGATGGCTTACCGAACAAGAAGGTTCATCACCGAACTAAAAAAGGCCTCCACCGGACCCTGTCCTGGGCCAACAAAATCCAGTCTCCTTCAACTCCTATCTCCCATAGATCCCGCCTGAGATTATCCTCCCATCTACGTCTAGGTCTCCCCAGCGGTCTCTTCCCTTCAGGTTTCCCAACCAGTACCCGGTGCACACCTCTTGGCCCATCCATGCGTGCTACATGTCCCGCCCATCTCACTCTTCTCGACTTAATCACCCTGACAATATTGGGGGAGGGGTACAGATTTTTAAGCTCATCATTATGCAGTTTTCTCCATGTCCCATCGTCTTCCCTCTTAGGCCCAAATATCCTCCTCAACACCCGATTCTCAAACACCTGCAATTTGTGTTCCTCCCTCAGAGTGAGAGACCATGTTTCGCACCCATACAAAACAACGGGCAAGATTATTGTTTTGTATACTTTAATTTTCAGGTTAGTGTGAACTTCAACTCTAATAATAATTACTGCCTTATTTCAAATCCCTTAGACGATCTCATGACTCCACTAACAGTTAGCCAGGGCCCACTTAAACATCAGCTCACCCCGGTTTACCGTCACTTAACCGATAAAGGCCCCATCCCTGAGTAAGAAAAACTAAACGTAATGGTGAAGAGATGTACAGGTAAGCCACACATCACAGGTCTCTCGGAAATGTGGTCAGGAAGACGAAATCTCGTACAATATTCTCTATAAATGTCTGGCATTGACTGAGCATTGAATGGAAGTCCTCGGTTCTGGCTCTAGCAGTGTGGTCAGGGGTCTGAGTGTCTGGGGTGACTGAAGATTCCCCCCCGCCTACACATAAACTAATGAAGTCGACATTTTACTAAAACGATACGATTTAACTTTCTTGCATTTCATTATTATTGCACGGCTGTACATTTATAATATTCCAATGTCTTAGGCTACATTCACACACCTTCAAGAGCATGGTCGACGCAAAGACAGTGAGGTATTCAGTTCTTAAGTTATAAAATAAAATAAAAATATTTTTTTGTTACGTGTTAGTTGCATCGTCCTGTGTAAGTACAGGTTTTGTGATAAGCCAATGCCTCATTCACGGATTTCTATAAAACGTGTAAAAGAAGTTATAGTCCAAACAAACTGGAACAAGCTGTAGAGCTTAATTCGTAAACGAAGATTATATAGCATTCAAATTAAAACATCTGCTTTAAGAACTGTTAGTCGCATTAAATAACTGCATATCCTTTTTGTAAAATATTTTCATACCACTGCTGATTGGTCAATGACATGTCGAATATTGTCGCTTTCCCCAAACATAACCTTGAAATGAACTTACACTCTTAAGGGAACATTTTTTAAAAAAAACATAAATGATTATTTCTGAACGTAGGAAACGCATTGATTTCAGACGATGAAAATCCACTACCACGCCACACGATCTTTTATACCACCAAGATGGCCTTGTGTTTATTCGTGTTGAGAATGTTTTGTTCTGACTGAACATTTACACATGTAAATTTCACAGAGGATACAAGAATGGTGGTGAACAACAGACCACGCCAGAGATGATTAATTTTGTGCTTACATGCACGTATGTGTATGTGTGTGTGCGCATGCGCGTGTGTAAAAGAAAGGAGGGGGTGATCCCATGCTCTAGCACGGTAATTGTCGCGTGCGCTATCTTTCGGTTTCATCGCAAACCTCTTTTCCTGCCCTTTCACCGCGTCGTAACCTTTTCTACCCTTACCATGAACTGAACTGTTAGGCGATAAACATGTCATTTCACGTACAGGTACCACGTTACACGCTCACATTATATAAGGATAATAATTTGACAGCAGGAAGGGTACATATTTGACGACCTCAATCCATAAATCCCATAAACAGGTCAAAAGTATGACAAGAAGTTTCTGGCACTGATCCGGTGCGATGTGAGTGTATGGTTTCAGAACAAGATTTTAAAGGTGTACTCTTTGGAGTGAACTGAACTTCCTAAGGAGTTCTTTACGTCACACTGAAGGTGTTAACGTCTGCAGGGCAACTACGGGAATAAGAAATGCTACAATGGCATAAATGCAACAATTTACAAAGTAATTGTTGCTGTTGTCATCCGATATCATTGTTGCAACAATGTGTTTAGCAATTAACTCATTTTACATTGTTGGAACGAGCATAAGACTTAGGCCGTGTGGGAAAAACCTCGTCTCTTGGGGTACCCATGGGGGTTTATAAGAGTTGGCTTAAAAACGCGACAGACAGACAGACATGCGCCCTCCAATAATCTGCTCATCGCTTACTCTAGATTGTGAAGAACACTTAAAAATATTGATTATAGACGTTCGAATCGTTGTTTAAATAAAGCTCATTAAATTGAGCCATAATTTTGAAGTAATGTTTGTACTAGCCTACCCGAATTTATTTGACGGAATATACGTATAAATTAAGATGTTTGACACTTAATTTTGGTCCATGTCTATATTTCCCCATTGGTTAAAAATTCTGCTTCTCATTCGGGAGAACGCGGCTTCGAACCATGGTTCAGAGACCGGCAATCATGGCTGAGGTTATGAATTAAAATTATTTGTGTATAATGCTTATTGGAGTATCGAAATATAAATACTTGGACAGCACAATTAATGACCAGTGGGATCACTCCTTGGAAATAAAGTGCCGTATCGAAAAAGCCAGAGCCACTTTCATCAAAATGGGATAAATGTTCAGGAATAGAGACTTAAACTTAAACGCCAAGTTAAGACTACTCAGATGTTATGTTCGCTCTGTGCTTTTATACGGCGCTGAATCGTTGATGTTGACAGAAGCTTCTTCAAAAAAGTCGGAGACCTTCGAAATGTGATTGTACCGACGTATTTTCAAAATTTCCTGGATTGACCGTGTAATTGATTATATTTTAAAGTTTCTTTACTTACGTAGTTCATTTTTAACGAAACTCACTAGGTTTGTGGTTCTTACGGAGATGTAAAATGTTGATGTTAATATTCTGGGTTCTAAAGCGTGTGGCATTGTAGGTAGCGGTTAGAACGCTGGCCTTGTAATCCTGGTCTCTCGGGTTCGATTCCCGGCGGTGCCCGAATTTATAACTTGTGTTGGGCAAGGCCGTGGTCTAGGCAACACGGAGTTTTCCTCCGTGGCATCCCAACAATTACTCCATTCACACACAGAAGAAGGCAATGGCAAACCACTTCTGGATCATCTGCCAAGAACGTATATGAACAGGTCCCAGTCCGAGAAAAGGATGGAAGGATCCTGTTCATATGGACCTGTCCTCAGACAGAACACTAAATAAAATAAATTGTAGGTAGGCGCCAATTTTTTTGTCCTGAAGAAGACAACAGTGTTTCTCAGGAACGTTGAAACCAACTACAACACCAGAACCCAAACATCGACATTTTAATTTAAAAAAAAATTCTACTAACATTTCTGTCAACGGAATAAAAACCCAGGTCTTTAAACTGAAAGAACTATAACAATTATATGAATTTAAACGTCAGCTCAGTTAATAAAGCGACTTACTACATTGTCAAAATCTGTTATACATTAGTAGAATAATTAATTTACAGCGAAGCATTTTATTTGATACGAAATTGTTACATTACCTGTTATTTTTTAATTACAAAAAAAAAGGAACAGACTGCCTCGAATACTGCGGGCATACAAAACCTATTCGTCTCTGATAGGGGATTTTAATTCTGTTTTCAGTCCTTTATAATACTCATCATTCAAGTTGGATAAAACCCACATCAGATTGAACGACCGCATTAATCATCACCTGCAAGAAGGGTCACGAAGGTTGCATTGTACCAACTACCTTTGTGTGTGGTTAATGAACATCTTTTATAACACTTCAT